GCGGGGTGTGTGTGACCCCAGAAGGACAGTGTGTGCTCCCACACCTGGCCACTGCCCAGTCCTGGGCTGCTCCCTGAGCCTGGCCCAGTCACCCCTTCAGAGTGCATGCCTCCAGCTCCCAGGAATTACGTGTTCCTGGGGCAGACAGAGGCCAAGCCTGAAGATAGGACAGCCTCCAGCGCTGGAGCCAGAAAGATCTGGGCTCAAATTCTGGCATAGATCCTACCTACCTGTGTGAACTTGCCAAGCCATTTTCCTCTCTGAGCCTCAGTTTTCTCATCTATGAAATGGGAACAAATCATAGCACCTACCTCCCATGGCTAACCAGAGGATTAAATAAGACAAGGCACCGAGTGCTTTGCACTGGTAATTGGTCCTGGCTCTGCATGAGTTATCTCAGGAACTCTGAGCATCTATAAGGGTCTACGTTCCCCACTGGGGTTTGAAGTGAGTTGAGAGTTGGGGTTATTTTTCGCATACGTGCTGGGCTAGTGGCTCGAAGGCTCTAAGGCTAGCTCCCCATCCACCTCCTACCCCTGATTCAGAAGCAGCTGAAGTCCTTATTTATCAGAGGCCCCAGAATTCACCTCAACAAGTCCAGCACTGGCCAGAGTCCAGCACCGGCCCGCATGCCTGGACCATAAATCTGGCTCCTCTACTTAACAGCAATGTGATGACTCTGGGCAAGTCCCAAATTCTCTGAGCCTTGATGTTCTCACCTGGGAAATGGGGGCTATGAGCTGACCCCGGGGGTGGGATGATACACTTGGCAGCACCCAGCCAATCTTGCCGGGGATATGGGAGCCCCTTCCCCCAGCCTCTGCCTGAGTTGTGGGGTCAGCTCTCCCAGGGGTTGGAGGAGGCAAGACGGAGGGAGAAAGGGCACCAACGCAGCTTAACAATTATCCCCATCTCCGGGAATAATTCACCAAGTGGAGGGGGCTGCGCTCCTGGGCATCCTCGGGAGTCTAGGAGATGTTCATCCAGGCCACGGCAGAGACGTGGCAGGGTCTGCTTGTGTGTGGAGCCTGGAAGTCATCTGCTCTGAGAGTTTTCTTCAGCAGAAAAGTTTTTATTTCACAAATGCTGACATAGTGCTTATTGTGTGCCAAGTACTTCACATAGATTGACTCACTGAATCTTCATAACAGCCCTAGGGGCTTATCATGTTCCCCATTTTACAAGTGAGGAAAACGAAGGCACAGAGAAGTAAGCGAATGCAGCCAAGGTCATGTGACTAAGAAGCGGGCAAGCTGGGGTTTCAACTTGGCAGAAGGGCTAGAGTTCAAGCTCTTAACTACATGCTATACCCCTCTCTGGTTTTTAGCCAGATGTTCCCTAGGAATTCAAGGTTGGATTCAGGGTTTCTATGAAAATACGTGTGTGTGCACGACTTTGTGTGGTGTGTGTGTGTGCAGACATTTTTCTGGGTAGACAGTCCATAACGTTTATCATCTTCTCTAAGAGGTCTATCCTTGATGGAAGATCTGCTTACAAAAAAGATGGTTCAGCCGCTGAAATGTTAAAAAAAAAAAAGAAAGGAAAACAACTGGACCAGTCAAACTGCCCCCTTTTACAGTCAGGGAAACTGAGGCCCAGGGGAAACAGAAGCAAGGAAAAGGAAGTCGCCCAAGATCACAGGCGAGTTAGTGGCAGCACTAGACCCCAGGACCCCCGCCACCTGCCTCTTTCCCCCTTCTCACATTTATATAGATGCAGCAGCTTTTGCTATGAGGCACCTACATTGATGCCATGACCCTCCCAGGAGGGCAGATGAGCCACTGTCCTTGATGTACATCTTCCTATTCCCTGGGAGAGTTTGCAGGGCCCCTGGGTGCCAAACTGAGACCCACTCAACCCTGGTCACTCAGCAAGAAATTAAGACCAGGACTTGGTTCTGGGCAGATGCTAGGGGGATATTTGTTCATAGCCTCCCCTGCCCGGCCAGTCAGGGTCTATAAGGGCTGGGTGCATCCTAGGAAATAGCCAGGTTTTCGTTACTGCCCAGAGAAAGCTGGGGCTAGCAGTCTCCACCACGGGGAGGAGCAGACCCTCATAAACAACTCTGTGAAGTCAGTGTCACAACCATCCCTAAGTCCTAGATGCAAAATGGGGGTTCCCAAATGTCAAAAGACTTGCCCAAGGTCACTGAGGGAGTGGGAACAGCACCACTGTGGCTGAGGCTGAAACCCGGGGAGGCCCCTACAGTGCTCAGTCAGTTTCTGAATCAAAACCAGCGGGAGACCATGGCCCCCAAGAGGTGAATTTCGGCCCCTCCTGCATCCTCACTCTGTTCTTTTCTGGTACAGACACATCCCCATCAGAAGGTGCCAACCTCAACGCGCCCAACAGCCTGGGTGTCAGTGCCCTGTGCGCCATCTGTGGGGACCGGGCCACAGGCAAACACTATGGGGCCTCAAGCTGTGACGGCTGCAAGGGCTTCTTCCGGAGGAGTGTGAGAAAGAACCACATGTACTCCTGCAGGTGAGGGACCTTGATTTCTCCAGCTGGGAAATGGGCCCACTGGGGCTAAAGTCCCCACGGGTCTGTCTGCTCTCTGCCGAGGTCCAGGGGGATCTGCCCCTCAGGGCCTTCAAGCCTCCTCTGGTTTGTTTCTTAGGCCTTAAAGATCCAGATGGGAACATCTATTCTAGAAACCTCATTTATTGATCATGAAGCTACTGGCTGCCCTTTACTGAGTACTTATTATGTGCCAGGCACTGTATTAAGTCCTTGTGTATATTAACTGTTCCACAAGCTCATTGGTATGTTTCCCATTTAGCAAATGGGGATCCCAGAGGCTTAGGATCAAGGGTGAGGTCCATCCCCCGACCTGGTGCTTTTTCTGGGGCAAATAGGGGACTGGCCCCGGGCCTTTCCACCTCTCTCAAGGCCTTGGAGATCCCTCCTTCGGAAGTATCTCCCATTCTGGGTAACAACAATAATACAGTAATAGCAGCTGTCAGTTACAAGCACTGACTTTGAACAGACACAGTGCCCAGCCCCATTGGAAACTCTCTCATTTTCACCTGTCAACACCTCTCCACGGTGATTACTATTATTATTCTCATTTTATAGATGAGGAAGCTGCGGCTTAGAGAGGACTAGGAATTTGCCCAAGGTCACCCAGCTTGAATCAACGGCAGAGCCCAGGTTGACACTCAGGGTCCCACCCATAATCACTGTGGGTCCTGCCCCTACTCCATATCCCACTCCAGAAAGTGACTTACATGGATCAAGTATTGGTGCTGATCCATAACCAGGAGCCCACTCTGTAAATGCTCTAGGCTTTTACAGGATGTGGTGGAAATAGCAGTGCCCTGTACCTGTGGCTGAGTGATCTGAGGACACGTGCCACCTCTCTGAGCCTCAGTTTTCCCGTGACTAGTGGGACAGGGCTGGGCTCTTACAGAGTCCACCGGACCTTTCCAGCTCCTGGTTCATTAGCAGAAGAACACCTGGGATGAAGGGTTCGAGCGAGGAGGCTGGGGGTCAACCAGATGGCCAGGATTCTAGTTCAGTCCTGGGAGAGGGAGGGCTGTCCCTTCTCCATCCAACCATCCAAAGTCCTCCCCAGATTTAGCCGACAGTGCGTGGTGGACAAAGACAAGAGGAACCAGTGCCGCTACTGCAGGCTCAAGAAATGCTTCCGGGCTGGCATGAAGAAGGAAGGTGAGCCTGGCCCTCCCCCTCCCACCCCACTGCCCCACCCGTGCCCACAAGCTCTCGACAGTCATTTAGAAGGGAGGCCACAACTTTATGACTTGGTGATAGGCCCCAGGGTGACTGGCTAATGGCTGAGAGGAGGGAGGGCCTGAAAATCTGCCCATAGGGAGGGGCTGGGCTTGGTCTTGAGAAAGATTCCAAGAGATAAGCTCCCCCTTTCAGCTACTCAGGTTCCCAGCCCCACCACTCCAGCCTGCACCACCACCACGTAGCCAAGTTGGGTGTTTTTTCTTAATATGCTATTGCCAACATGAGGAAAAGGGTAAAGAATGACTTTACAAATATCCACGGACCCACCACTCAGACTCAGCAAATGTGAATGAGGCTGGGAGGGGAGGGTTCTCTTCCTGAGCTTCCTGTTTCAGGGATAGGAAGGGCCTCAGTTCCTTTGTGTTCAGTCCTGGGTATCAGATGATCCAGAGTTCTCATGTACTTGGGAGTGGGAACAAGGCCCCAGACCCGTCCTGCGGGGAGGAGGGTGGGAACACAACATTTATTCAGGGCTCTCCAGGCCTCCTGCCACCAGCAGATGCCAGTCACCTGGCTGGGCTTCTGTACACTTGACAGTTCCTTTCATTCTCATGACAGCCCTGTGTGGCTGGTCATATTATCATCCTTCGACTCATGGGTGAGGGAACTGAGGCCCAGAATGGTTCAGCAACTTTCCCAAGCTCCCACATCTCATCAAAGTAAGCTCCGAGGTCTGAACCCAGAGCTTTGGACTCAAGTTCATTGCTGTTCGTATGATACCTCAATGCTGTCTGTGGTGCCCTGTAGACCCCAGAAACGTTTAAAAGTTTTTTAGCCCAAGCTGAGAAGGCAAACATCTTTTAACTGCTTCTCTGAGTAACTACAGTTCATTTTCAAATCTCTTTGTCTCCTTCTCTGCTCAACTCACTTTCCCAGCCCTGGGACCAGCCTCCAGACCTTCACTTCCGGCCTGCAGCTGTGGCACACCAGCCAAGACCCTTGGTCTAGTTCCGTACAAACACACACACCCCACCCCACCCCACAGCAGGATCCTGGGACCCAGCCTTCCCCAGGCTGACTGGGAAGGAGGGGAACTTGGCTTTGGCAGCCTCCCCTCCCCAACTCTGCCCCTGAGCCTCTGTTTTCTCTGCCCCCACCTCCCTGGGAAATATCTTCTGGGTCTCATCCCTCCAGGGCCCTTTGAGTTCATTTACGAGCCCTGTTGGGAACCCTGGGCCTGTAGTCCTGATGGAGTAGGTGGTCTCCTAGGCCCCCTCCTACTGTAACACCACGATTCTCACATCCAGACCTCAGTGGTCCTCAAAGTGGGGGGGGGGGGCTTTTTCAAAGGACAAATGCCCCCCTTCTCTCCCCTACCCAGTTTTCATTGGGGTTGAGCCACTCTCACGCTGAAGATGAGAATGACTTTGTGGAATGAGAAATGTAATGAATGGGGATATGGTTCATGTATGAACAGCTGGAGGCAAGAAAAAGACTGAGAGCTACAGTCCTAAGGGCTGGACAGTCTAGGGTTCTAATAGTCACTGATTCTAATAGCCCGACAGCCTAAGATTTTAGATTTGAGAGGATGAATGTCTCGGGTTAAAATTCCAGGCCTTGTGACAGGCAAGTGGGAGAAAGGTTGGCAGCTTACCTGAGCAGATGGCTACTTTCCTAGGCTGTAGGTCCTGCATCTAGTTGGTCTTTATAGATGTCTCTTGTTAAACGTTCAGAGTCATTTTCAGGCGTGCCACTTTGGGGAAGTTTCTGCCCCACCTGGGCTCCAGTATTCATGTCTACAAAATGGCGGGAGTGGGTAATGAGTCCTTCGAGCTCTGTGAGTCTGGCTGTGCACTCACTGATCAAGTACGCTACGCCCACCAGGACTTGCGTGTTTGTTCCCTGGTCCTCCCAGGGACCTGCCACAGAGGCAGCAGGCCTGGATCCCGGCTCTTGGAAAGGGAGGGAGAGCCATTCTGCCTTAGCTTAGCCTTGAAAATAGCTGATTACCTCTTGTCTCAGAGAAAGTGGCATGATGCCAGGAGAGGAATACTGGCCGATGGCAAGTGAGTGTGGGCTAGTAAAGGCTGGTGCTAATTTCCATGCTTGGGTTAACCAGGAGATCATGACACACGCAGTTGCTTGGTTGCTTTGAGAACAGGCCAGGGTAGCAAAGTGTTCCATTGCCGCTGTGGTCAAGCTCTGGGAAGTAAGGGCATCATTAGCCCTACCTAAGTCTTACAGTCCCAATACCCTTCCTCAGCCTGGTGGTAAACCCCCAAAGTCAAGAGAGATTCTCAGTGGAAGCCCCAGTGATCAGGAGAGTTGGGACAAGTTTTTATTTCCCTTCTTTGATGGCTTTATTAGAAAGATCTAGGGATTAAAACTTTAACATTGTCCTTGAGGACAGGAAGTCATGGGCCGCAAACATGGCATTTATAGACCAGTTAGGTGTATACAAGGTCATTAAATCTACCCGCTCCCCATTGTACAGATGGGGAAATTGAGACCAGAGAAGTGATGTGACTGCTTTAGCAGAGATCAGGGCTAGAGCTCAGACTCCCCAGAGCTGAGCAGACACCAAGGTCCCTGGATTAAAACTAGAAAGGATGGCCTTGGGAGGTATCTTCTCGTCCAGATTCCTGAAGCTTCCTCTTGACTACAGGGAAGGGCTCTGAATCTCAAAGTCTTGTGAGTATGGCCCAAGGACATTCCACAGTGGTCAGAAGTGGGTTCCCTGAAGGGGGACTCTGGAGAGAAACTTGGTTGGGGTCAGTGGGCCCAACGGCAAGTCACAAATTCTTTCCTATAAACTAACACCTAGCTGGGCCTCTGCTGGTTGACCCAGGACAAATGTCCAGCTCCTGCATCGGAAAACCAGCCCAGGAAGCAGGGCCAGGGATGCAGGAGGTGCAATTCGGTGGTGGGCCAGGGACCATCTGATGGGCCCTTCCCGGGAACCCCGGCCAAGCCCCCCTCCACAGGATCCTACTCAGGGGTCCTCTCAGAAGACAGGCTCATCTTCCTCTCTGCCTCTGCCTAAGCCGGTTAATATTCAATAGAAGTTACATTAGGTCCCCGACCTGCTAATACTGAGCAAACATTTGGAAAACATCATTCCGTGACTGAGCTCGCGCCGGGCACTGATAACGCTGGCCTAACCTTGAGGAGCCCAATCCCCAGCTGCTGACAGCAGCCCTTTTCTTAGGCCCGCCACCACTTGGCGCCCCGGTGGGTGTGGGCTGGCAGCCGTGGGAGGGGTGCCGTGGGCCAGGTGGGACTCGGGCAGGGGAGCGGCGCTGGGAGCCGGCCCCATCCAGGGTGGTGGGTCTGGGGAGAGGAGGTTTCTTACCTTGGGACCTAGTACATCCCACTAACTCCTGGGCTCCCTTTGGATGATTTGACTTTCATTCTCTGATTTCAACAACGTGTGAAATCGAAAGAGAGTTGAACAGTGGGAATGTCAAGATTCCATTGAGAAAAAGGATGCATCTAAGAATCAGAGCTCGTCTCATCCAGCAGCTTCCTTCAACCACTCAACAGATATTTGCTGAGCACCTACTGTGTGCCGGGCTCTGTTCTAGTTGCTGGGGCTGCAGCAGAAGACAAGAGGGATGATGTTCTGCCTTTCTGGAGCTTTCCTTCTCTTAGGAGAGACAGAGAGGGAAGGAAAAACAGAGAATAAGTAGTAACAAGAAAAATAAAGCAGCAGAAAGGGCAGAGCCTGTGGGAGGGATGCCACATCAGACAGGGTGGTCAGAGAGGGTGTCGCTGAGAAGGTTACATTTGTGCAGAGACCTGAGTAAAGGAAGCAGAAGCAGCTTAGCCAGGGGTGGGGGCAGTGGGGGAGGAATTCCAGGCAGTGGGCACAGCCGTGGTGAAGGCCCCGAGAGTGGCTGTGTGAGTCCCAGGAACAGCGGGGAGGCAGGTTTGATGGGCAGAGAGAGTAAAAGCGAGATGAGAGAGGAAGGATCATCGTGAGGGGCTGTGGCTTTACTCCGTGTGAGACGGCAAGGCCCTGGTTTTGAGCAGAGGAGAGATATGAGTTCGGTTTTGGCGGACCCCTTGGTCTTCCGGGAGGTGCACAGATTGCAGGGGCGAGGCCAGAAGCAAAGCGATCAGTGAGGAGGGTCTGAACTTCTCCAGGGCCCAGCCCCGAGTGGGAGCCGCAGATGGTTTCTGTAAGGATTACTGATGGCATTTGGAGGGTGAACTGAAGGGGGAGGTGAGAGAAAGAGACCTATAGTGAGACTCCCAGGCTGGCAGGAAGGATAAACCTGCCTGTTCCCGAGATGGGGAAGATCAAGAGCAGGTTTGGGAGGGAAAAGCTTACAGATGAGGAAACCGAGGCCCGGAGAGAAAATGGGATCCCTGCCAGCACAGAGAGTGAGTGGTGAGTTCCGAACAGGAACCCAGGACTCCTGCTGCCCCATCCTCCCTCCTTTCAGCTTCAACAAAGCTTCATTCCACTGTGAGGCCTCCCAGACTCCAAGGGACAGGGCAATAGAAGGACCATCTTAGGCCAGAACTGACCTGGTGTGGGGCCCTGGTGGACAGAGGCCCTGGATCTCTGAGTTTCTGGGACAGGGTCCAGTGGTGGGGTGGGAGGGAACCAGAGCTTTCCTGTGCTGTCTCTGGGCACATGCACTCCCTGATGGTTCTGGAATCTCTGGGCCATCTCTGAGTCACCCAGAGTAATTCATTTTGCTGGTTTTACAAACTTTCATCGGAAAGAAGGAGACCCTTTTCTAAAACAGAGCTTGAAAGCCTGTCATCTAGACAGACCTCCTCTTTACTGCTCAAGGCCCACCTTAAAGCCCTCTGCCAAGTCATTTCTACCTTGCCTGCCTCCAGTGGTGGCTGGATCACTCCTGCAGCCATCCCTCCTCATCTCTCTCTGCCTCCTCATAGCCGTCCAGAATGAACGGGACCGGATCAGCACTCGCAGATCGAGTTACGAGGATAGCAGCCTGCCCTCCATCAATGCGCTCCTACAGGCCGAGGTCCTGTCCCAGCAGGTACTGGGGGACCCTCCATCCACCTATGGATCCCCACCCCAAAAGGAGTCTCAACTCTATTCCTGTCCTCCCCAGCCAGTGGACAGCAAGGGCACTCGATATCACAGAAGGGAAACTGAGTCCAGGGTCACACAGCCAGTTTAGTCAGCAAAGACAGAACCCAGGTCTGGCCCTCTGGGACCTACATTCTTCGGGCCAAGCAGTCTTTACTCTCACTGAGGGCCTGAGGTCAGCTTAGCCTTGAGGGAACAGAGTGGGAGACAAGTGGGCAAGTAGCAAACTGGGGCTCAGCCAGCCCCTTGTGGTGTGACCTTGGGCAAGTCACAGCACCTCTCTGGGCAGTGGTTTCTTCACCTATCTGATGAGGATGAGGATTTTTGCCCTGCTTTGCCTCTAGGGCTGAGGGGTTCCTTGGGGTTCTAAGGAGCTGGTGGAGGAGGAGGCAGGAGGCAGCCAGCAGGGAAAGGCCCAGAGAGAGCCGCCCTCCCTCATAACTGCCTCCTTGGCATCCTCCCTTCTTTCCATTCTCCTCTGAGCTTCCTTCAGCGCTGAGAAGGAACCCACAGTCCGGCTCCCCTTTTCCAGACAAGGAAAGTACCTGGGCAGGGGCTCCATGCAGTGGACAGACTATATGGAGGGCCAGCCATTCCCAGCATTTTCCTTCGTCTCCCCCAGATCACCTCCCCTGTCTCTGGCATCAATGGAGACATTCGGGCGAAGAAGATTGCCAGCATCGCAGATGTGTGTGAGTCTATGAAAGAGCAGCTGCTGGTGCTCGTCGAGTGGGCCAAGTACATCCCAGCCTTCTGCGAGCTCCCCTTGGATGACCAGGTAAGCGTGGACACGGACCGCGGGCAGTGCGGGCCCTGGGCAGATGGGTCCTGCTGGCCCACCTGAGGTGTAGCTTTGGACTGGTTTGATTGTATTTAACAAACACATACTGTTCATATGCACCCAGAGCTGTTTGAATTGTTTTACAAATAGTAACTCATTTAATCCTTCCAACAACCCTAGGGTATAATACAATTATTATGACCATCTCTTAGATGAGGAAACTGGGGCCCAGAGAGGTTAAATAACTTTCTCAAGATCACACAGCTAGAATCCAACACAACTGGTGGAGAAAACAGGCAGGCAAGTTCCAAAGTCCGGGTCAGCAGCCACTGCGCCACTGCGCCACTGCGCCACTGCACCAGGAGGCTCTCCTCGGGGGGATGTTGACAGGGGCTCAGGGCCAGGGATCAGGAGATTTGGGCTTGAGCTCTGGCTCTAAGATAGGTTTTCTGTGTGAACTTGGACAAATTACTTCTGTTTTCTTATCTGTAAAGAGGGAACTGTAATGTCCACTTCAGAAAGTTGTTGGCAGGATTGAAGACAGCACCATTTGAAAAATGTAAATCATGTAATGGAGCGCCTCTACAGTCCTGAGCCACAGCGGGCCTCCCTGAAAACCAGTTTCTTCCTTTTATCCCACCAAGATGGGTTAACTTTTTTTAATTTTCCCAAACTTTTTTTATTTCCCAAAGTACATTCTTCGGCATACCAAAAATGGCCGAAGGGAAAAAGGGGGCTGAGGGGCGAGGTCTGAGGACAGCTGAGTTTCTGAGATACTGCAAATGGTAGCTCCTGCCCAGGGCACCCCGAGGCTCGGCAGACATTTTCCCGTCTGGGTCACCTTCTCAATCTCAGGGAAGCTTGGGGGTACCGATGGACTGTGTTCCAGACGCCTGCTCCCAGTGCATTTGCTTCTCTGTTTTGCTCACTTGCACAAAAGACTGGCAAAGCATGTCAGTCGATTACAGTTTCGAGAAGTCCTGCAGGCAAGGCAGCTGTTGAACTCTGTGGAACCCAGGGCTTCTCTGCCTCCTGCGATGCCCAGGCTCTCCCGGAGCAGGTATTATTATCCTACGAAAATACTGATTTGGCTGGTCCTCACCCTCATACGCGGGGCTAGACCAGCACCCTCTCACAGGGCTTCCTCTCCGCTTTGGGAGGGATGACAAGGGAGGGATCTTGGCTGAGCTGCCCCTGCCTTCTCCCCTGCTCCTCATATTCTGGCCCTGGTCCCCTCTGCTGGAGAGTCCATATTAATGTTTAATCCCTTCTGTTCCTTCCCAGGGGCTCAGCAGGGCAACAAGATACCCCCAAGCTGAGCAATTGTTAACCTCGATTTCCCACCCAAACCTCCCTGGCTGGGGCTCAGAGCATTCTCAGAGAGCAGTGATGGGTGGCCAGTAACACAGGACAATCATTAACATCACCACCCCCTGCCTGCCCACCCCCAGAACAGCCACCATGTTAAGGGGCTAGACCCAGAGCCAGGAGGGTTTCCAGCTCCCCATTCACGGTAGGAGCTCACTTTGTCCAAGATGAGTGAGGCACATCTGGGAGAACTGGGGGGACTTTGTTCTCCAAAGGACTCCCCAAATCTGTCCACATTGTCCCAGGAACCACCTTCTACATTTGTTTGCTTCTTGATTTGTTTTGGACATCAACCCATTGAAACCTACAAGGCTGGATAGCACTGGGTAAGGGGACTGAGACTTGGAGAGAAAGAGCAATTTGCCCAAGGGCACAGAGCGAGGCACCCACAGAGCTGAGGGTTTGAATTCAGATCTCGTACCTCTCGATTGGAGAGGCACCTGGGGTGAGTGATGAGTCCTGCCCAGTGCGTGGCATATAGGAAGTGCTCGATAATCAGCATCCTTTGGCCTCCCGTTGTCCAGGTCATGGAAAGGGAGCTCTCGCCACCAAGGCTGTTTGCCATTTCTCCTCTTTTCCTGTCATGCTCACCAGGCTTAGCCATGGGGAAATAGACGAGGTAAGCGCACAGCTGCAGGAGGGGCTCAATCTGGAGAGGAAGTTAAGTAGCTGGCTCATCCATTCACCTATTTCTTCATTCAAACAAATACTTACCAAATGCTTACTATGTGCCTGGTGTCTTCCATGCCTTAAAACACTGTCACCTCCTTAGAGAGGCCTTCTCTGGCCCCCGCATTTGATGTAGTTGCTCTTGACCCACTGCTCTTTACCACACAACCCTCACCTTCATTTCTTTTACCCTCTCTCCCTCCCTCAATCCATCTACCCGGCTTCCTCCATCTCTCTCTCTTTTTCTTTCTTTCTCCTCCTCCCCCTTTCCTTTTCTTCCACTATTGTGTCCCCAAACAACTGTCTGGCATTTAGTAGGCACTCAACATTTGATGATTGAAAGAATGAGCAATCCAGTGCATTAATGAATAAGAGCATTTTTGCCTCCTAGTCTAGCCCTGCTAAAAAGAACTTCCAAACTTCCTACCCAACCTCACAGATCAGATCCTTGAGGCTACCAGCCTGCTACTGTTTTAACCAGCCCCATCCTCTGGTCCTCATGCAAGCACTGAAGCAGATGGTTCTGAGAAGGCAGGCAATGTCCTCCTGTGTGCTGGCTGGGCTCCCACATCAGACTTCAGCCTGCAAGTCTGCATCGTCCTGTCTGAGGGACAGGGCCAGTCAGGCTGATCCCCTGCCAAGGACCAGTGCTCACACCTTTGCCTCAAGAACCAACATTCATGTCCAGATTCTTATAACTCTTTCTCAGAATCTAAATTCTTCCAACGTCAAGTGGGTAGATCCCCTGGCGTTCTTCCGGAGCAATGGTTTCCCAAACACAACTGCACATCAGATTCAACCGAGGAGCTTGTTAACTACAGATCCTTGGGCCCAGCCCAGACATACAGAATCAGAATCTCTGGTCATAAGGCCTAATAATCTGTGTTTTTGTAAAACGTTCTTCATACTCTTTCATAGCTGGTCCAAGGGTAGGGATTCAGGACCCACAGTTTTAGAACTTTTTAGAACTCTTCAGAGTCTAATCAAAGCCTTTAAGTCTCTGCTGGAAAAAAAACAAAAACAAAAAACACCACCCAGAGTGTTGTTACAGTTTTACCAGGCATACGAAGGGGGCCCAGAGGGGAGCAGCAGTTTGCCCCAGACACAGCAGTTCAAGGACACAGTCAGCATTTGGTCTCTCAGCTCTGAGCACATGTTCTTTCCCCATTCAGATTTCTGTTCAATCTTTTCCAGGTCCCCGTCTTTATCAGTTATGAGAGGAAAGTAGCAGTTTTCTGATGCCCATTTTAGAGTTCCGGCAGGTAAAGGCAAGGAGAGTGTTGAGCTGACTTGCCCAGGGTCACTGAGTTGGCCAGCCTCCCCAGGGGTGTAGATGCCTCCCCAGGGGTGCACATGCCTACCCAGGGCTGCGGACACCAGACACCATCCCTTCTCTCTTCCAGGTGGCCCTGCTCAGAGCCCACGCCGGTGAGCACCTACTGCTCGGAGCCACCAAGCGCTCCATGGTGTTCAAGGACGTTCTGCTTCTAGGTGAGGATGCTGCCTGCCTAGCGGGGGCTCCGCAGAGGGCATGCCCATGGGAGATTTCCACAGTGGTGTGCAGAGGCAAGGCAGACAGATCACCGAATGGCCCTGTCTTCTGTATTCTCAATTGGATCCTGCACCTTGGATGCAAGGAAACATGGACTTGAGGAATTAAATTCCCCAGCAGTAAAGCTGGACCACAGTCAGGGTTAGCCCTGGAATAATCTGCGCGTTCTGGCGTGCTTGGGAGTAGGAGCAAGAGGCAGCCGGGAATGGCACAAACCCCAGCCCATGTCACCTACACCTTCACAGCGTGTTGTTTATTATTTTAAATGCTAGTATAGGGCACATCACAGGCCCTAGTCTGAGTACTTTACAAATACTAACTCCTTTAATACGACAACCCTATGAAGTGAGCTCTATGATCTATCCCTATTTCATAGATGAAAAAATAGAGGCACAGAAAGTAATTTACCCAAATTTATCGGCTAGTCAGTGGTAGAAGCAGGATTCAACCCAGGCAGTCTAGTTCCAGAATCTCAACTCTTCTCCTTGATGCTTTTATGCCTCTCAAGTGGCCCTTGAATGTCATCAGTCTTGTGGGTCTGTTGTCACGTTGGAGAATGGAGCTTGGGTGATGTGAAAGGGGTCGTAGGAAGTCAGGCTCCAGGCCCAGTCCAATGACTTCAAGCAACTCATTCCTTTAATGTGGGCCTCAGCTTCTTCATCTGGAAAGTGGGAGTGACAATCCCCACAGGGCCCCCCTCTCAGGGGCGTCAGCTGCAATATAACTGCAGACGGCGGAGCCTGACCAAGGCTAGGGGAGAGGGGTGCACTGAAGCCTCTTCCCCATCCCCTCTTCTTCCTGACCCACCCAGGCAATGACTACATCGTCCCCCGGCACTGCCCGGAGCTGGCAGAGATGAGCCGGGTGTCCGTGCGCATCCTCGACGAGCTGGTACTGCCCTTTCAGGAGCTGCAGATCGATGACAATGAGTACGCCTGCCTCAAAGCCATCATCTTCTTCGACCCAGGTACACCCCGCACCCCCACCCTCCCCTGCTGCTCCAGACCCTCTGTCAGACTTCTCCCACTAGGGTATGTTCCCTGAGCTTACAGCCTCATCTCCTTAGCACAACCACCAGGAGAGGTCATTTTTCTTAGCTCTATTTAACAGATGAGGAGAATTAAGGCTCAAAGGGCTGATATGACTTAGTGGGATGCACTGACCCTGGGGGCTTGGTTTTTTTCTTTCTCTTCCTCCCTGCTTTCTTCTCCTACCTCCTATCATACTTCTTTTCTTTTTCTTGGAAGTTTTTTAATCAAAATAATATCTATACATACTTACAATGGAAGTAGTCCTCCCCACCACACTTTTCCCGTCCAAAGCCTACTCCCCAGGGGGAACCACTTCCAATCCTTTTTACTGTTTCTTCTGGCAGTTACCTCTCTAGTGCTAAATAAAGTACTCATCCTTCTATTTCTCGATTTAGCCATTTTAGAACATATTTTCCCTCCTATGATAGTTGAGGATCGCACTTTTCTCTATCACCATTCCCATCTTTTCTCCCCCATCCTCCTAATACATTTTTCTTGCTATTTTAGTGTCTCTACTGATTGCCTTTATAATGTCACATGCTTATGCTTTTCTTTGTTGTCCTCGCAACTGTAGGCAGTATCCTACGTTCCTTAGCAGGACAAAAAGATCACACATCCCCAGTCTCCGCATTCCATCTACTGACTTCCCACCTGCATCTCACACAACGTTGTTGTAGCTGTGTCTTTCTGCAAAGCCTGATTTCATCGCACAATGTCCAGATGCCTGGGCTCCAAAGGCTTGCTTGAGTTCTTCCCTCCTTCCATGTTAGCGAGGACCTGCTGTGTGCCAGGCAATGTCCTTAGTGCCAGGCCCTCCTTGCCTGGAGATCACCTCCAGTAATAATAGTGATGAGGAGAAATGAATACTGTTTATGGCGCCCTCACTAAGGCACCATTCTAGACGCTTCTTGTGAATGATCTCACTTGTTACTTGCAACATGGTATCAGTGAGGCAGGAATTGTTATTATCTCCATTTTGCAGAAAAGAAAACTGAGGCACAGGGAGATTGATTAACTTGCCCAAGATCACACAACCAGGAAATGGCAGAGCTTGGATTTGAACTTCAGACTATCTAGCTCTCCAGCCCTTATTCTTACCCACTACATGTTATTCCCTGATTCTTGAGGGGGTAATATTTCTAGTCTCAGTTTCCTTGGGAGCCTGGGTGCTCGGCATGGGGCTGGATGGGTAGTAACCGCTCAGGAAAATGTGCAGGATTACTGATGCTGGCTTGGAGGGACAGGTGACCTCAGGCAGGGCTGGGCATGTAGGTGGTGCTCAATCAATGTTTATTGACTGAATGAAAGAATGCACAAATGTGGCCCAGGAGAGAGAGCCCTGGACTGGAAATGTGAAATTCTCTTTCTGCTACTTGTTTCATCCATAAAAAAGGAAATAAATGTATTACCTCCATGAAGGTTGAGGACTATTAGATGACCACTTGAATAACCCTCTAGGTTAAGGAGCTAGAATTTATCCATTGATTTTGTTTCATTCACTCATCCTTCCATCCAAGCACCCACCCCTTCATCTAGTTTTCTACTCATCTAGTTAACTATTCAATAAATATTGACTACACGTGGTTCTAGGTGGTGGGTTAAAAAGGACAAAAGAGATTTACAGCTGCCTACACAAAGCTCACAGTCTGGTGGAAGAGACAGTTACATCCCCTGTGGTCAGTAGTGATGGAAGAGCCACAGAAATTTGGGGACATAATGGGCAAATTCAGAGTGCAGACTTGGGAGGGTGGAATGGAGAAGGCTTCCTGGAGGAAGTGTAAACTAGGCTGAGACCTGAGGACGACACAGACAAGGGAGCAGGGATGGAGGAAACTATTCTAAGGCAGCGGAAGCAGCGTGTGCTGAGGTCTGGATGCTGGGACTTTAACTGGGCGTCAGGGGCCCCAGTTCCACATCATGGATCTGCCAACAAGCAGCCTTGTAATCTTGGCCAAGTCCTTTCTTTGCTCCATGCCTCAGTTTCCCCATCTGTAAAGTAGGAAGGTTGCAAGGTACCCTGTTGGGTGTTACTGAAGTCTTGTCCTCCATCCCCCATTCCCCTCTTTTAGTTCTGCATCTTAAGAAATGTGACAGAAACCTTCTTCTGCCTGTGTCCAGGAAGCTATGACTTGTGCTAGTACACTCTGCTTCTTGAGGACACTGAATCCTCATCCCAGCACTGCTGAGGACTCCCTGTGTGACCTGGGTCACTGGATCCCCCTGTCAGGGCCCAAGGAGTCAGGGGACATGTGGGTCCTACCTCCCTAGTAGCTCCAGCTGGGCCCCGCTGCCCTCCCTTACACAATCCCTCCCGTTGCAGATGCCAAGGGGCTGAGTGACCCGGGCAAAATCAAGAGGCTGCGTTCCCAGGTGCAAGTGAGCCTGGAGGACTACATCAACGACCGCCAGTACGACTCTCGCGGCCGCTTCGGCGAGCTGCTGCTGCTGCTGCCCACCCTACAGAGCATCACCTGGCAGATGATCGAGCAGATCCAGTTCATCAAGCTCTTTGGCATGGCCAAGATCGACAACCTGCTACAGGAGATGCTGCTGGGAGGTCAGTGTCGGGCCCAGGAGGGGCTGAGAGGTGAGCGGGGGTGGTCGGGGGGCGGGCGGGGGTGGGCAGGCCTCACTCTGACCTGGGTTCACCGCTTAGCTCCATCACTTCCTCACGCCGTAGCTTTGGGCAGATCCCTTTACCTGCCTGTTCTCATCAGGAAAATGGGGCCAATAGGCTGTTTATTCGGGCACTGAGAATCTAGCACATTCCAGTCACTGTTCTAAGTGCTGGCGGTTCCCCAGAGAACAAGATCTCTGTCCTCCTGGAGGTCATGTCTGAGTGTGTGTGCACGTTCCAGGGTGTATAAACCCTCATGGGAACAGATGAGACTCAAACATATAATGAAGAGGGCAACTACAGATTTTAAAATAACCAGGTAATATGATAGAGTATGACTGAAAAGGGGCTTCTTTAGCTAGGTTGGCTCAGGGAGACCTCTCTGAAGTCTCTTATACTACGGACCTGATCGATGGAAGGAAAGAGAACAATTAAAAGCCAAGAGAGAAACATTCCAAGCAGGAGTAACTAGTGCAAAAGGCCCTGAAGCAGGAGAAGTTTGTGTGTTCGAGAGAGAGAAGGTTGTGAGATGGGGGAGTCGTATGAGATGAAGATGGAGACCGGGCAGAAACTGAGCCACAAACTCAGCCTTGGATGCTCTGGTCAGAAATTTGCATTTTATCCTCACTGCAACTACTGTAAAAAGAGTGAAAATCAGATGGACGTTTTAAACAAAGTATCCCGATTGTTGGGTAGAAAGTGAATTTCAGGAGGGCAAAGTGGAGACAGGAGGCCCCTGAGAAATGTCACTATTTCCAACGAGGGGAAGGACAAGGAGGCTTGGACTAAGGCCTGACTGGAAACTTATTGGCATAGATAAACTTGAACATCTATTTGGAGGAAGAACCCACAGGATTTGCTGATTGATCAGATGTAGGCAGTGAGGGGAAGAGTCAAGGACAAAATCTACATTTTTGCTTTGAGGAACAGGAACGGTGATGGAGTAACTTAATGAGATGGAGAAGTTCGAGAAAAAAGAGTTTGAGGCTGGGGATGGTGGTGGTGGTGGTGAAGGTTGAATCAAGAGATCATTTTAGACCTGATTTAAGCTTGTGATGACCGTTAGATATCCCAGCTGAGTTATCAAGGAGACAGCTGGATGCCAGAGTCTGTTGCTCAAATAAGTCCAAAGCTTAGGATGAAAGGCAGCTTTGTGGTGTTCTAGAAATTAGGTGCCACAGAAGGAGACGGAGGAAGACCAGCCGGGGGATAGGAGAAAAGCCAGGGAAGTCCCAGAATCCAAGAGAAGAGGGTGTTTTAAAGAGCACAGAGCATGTAATGGTGGTAAATTCTACAGGAGGGAGAAGGAGGTGTCCACTGGACTGGCAGCATGGAGGTTCTTGGTGATTGTGCTGAGAGCAGTGTCAGAAGACCGTGGAAAGGAAAACCAGAATGGGGGTGTTATGCAGTGAGCGAGTTGGAAATTGAGTAGAGGCAGCAAGAGTAGGCAACCCTTTGAAAATGTTTTGCTAAGAAGGGGAGCTAGGAGAGAGCTGAGGATGGTTGCAAGGGAATGACTATAATGATAGGCCATGGGATCTTGGCTGGACTTAAGGAGACATAAAGATGGGTGATAGATAGTGAAAAGTTCTATCAGTGAACTGACAGCCTCAGCAGTGTTGGAGAACTTTTGCAGAGATGGTACTGGAGGAAGTGAGGTGGGAGGATAGGAGGCAGGATCCAAGTGAGGATGCTTGAACTTAAGACTGTGGAGGTGATGGTACAGCCGAGGGCAAGCTTTCTCAGCCTCAGCAGCTATTTGGGACTGGAGAATTCTTTCCTATGGGGGCTGTTGTGTACCTTGTTTAGCCACATATCTGGTCTCTACCCATGAGATGCCAATAGCACTCCTCCAGTGGTGACAGTCAGATGTTGTCAGGTGTGCCCTGAGAGGCCCAAATCACACCCAACTGAGAACCCCTGTCATATGGTGACTCATTTCATTTCTCATTTTGACCCTGTGACTATATAGGATCATAGTGAATCAGGTGTCATTGAGATCAGGATCAGGAAGGAGCTTGCACTCTGTTGCCAGATAAACTTGAGAAAGACAATTCATCTTTCAGGGCCCAGTAATCTCATCTGTAGAATGGGTTAATAACGGTACCCACCTTACAGGATTGTTGTGAGGATTAAATTATGTCAAACATGAAAAGTGCCATGAAAACATCACCCAGCGCATAATAGGTATTCAATAATGATAGCTGTCATTATTACATGTACACTTTAGAGGCCCATTGCAAGCCCTAAAATTCCATCATTGTCATGTTAGTGACCATAGCCTATTACCAAGCCATACCCCATATATATGGTATTATCATTCTCCGACACAATTTTTGAAGCAGTTACTGTGTTCCCGATACTTTGCTAGGAACTCAAAGAGAAGAAAAATACATCTGTAATTGTAATGCTCACAGACAGAAGAAATGGTTGTTCCCCAAGGATGGATTACAGATAAATAACTATGGGAATTCCAAGGAAGGAGAGGTTTACTTTCCCACTGGAGTGGGGAGAATCAGGAGAGACTTCCCAAGGAAGGAGATACATGAGCTGGAATTTGAACTTGTGGACACTGCAGGTGGGCGGTGGGGCGGAGAAGGTCTCTTTAGTGGAAGAAACATATGAGCAAAAGCATAGAGCTAGGAAAGTACAGGGGACACACAGATGCTGTAAGTAGGTCATTTGGGCTAAAGGTGGGGGGATGAGGCTAAATGGTGAATTGGGACCAAATGATTGAAGGACTTACAAACCAAGGAGCTTTGAGAGCCGCTGACTAAATCCATTATATTAACATGCAATCAATACACTACTTGTTGCAATATTTAAATGATCTCACAGCTTCTTTACAAGCTCCTTGTTTCTTTCAAATCACCTTTGTTCTCTTGGTTTGTTTGTCCTCTCAATACCTTCACGAAGCCAGTGGACAGGAGTGGAAGCCCCAGTTTACTAATCCAGAAATAGGAACCCAATAGGCACTGTTAATATTGGGTGAGCAGGTTGATGGCCACATCTGAGGAAGATGGGGCCTCAAGGCCCATGATCCTTATCCCAGACTCTCCATCTCCACTGAGTACCTCATCTACCTGCAGGGTCCTCCAGTGATGCACCTCATGCCCATCACCCTCTGCACCCTCATCTGATGCAGGAACACATGGGCACCAACGTCATTGTTGCCAACACGATGCCTGCTCACCTCAGCAACGGACAGATGTGTGAGTGGCCCCGACCCAGGGGGCAGGCAGGTGGGCAACTTGGGCTCTACCCAGGAAGGGGTGACTTTGGGGCCTAAGGGGGAAATCTGGAGAAGGTTGGATACAGAAGATGAGGCATGGGATAAAACAGTTCTCTGTGCTCCAGGATCAGGAAAGAGGGGTAAGACTATCCATTTATTAAGGCTATTTATTCACTGAAGGAAGCTGTCCTTGGGATGAGGCAGTCCATTAGATGAGGTTGTCCATGGGGTGAAGATGTCCACTGGGGTGAGAACTCCACTAGGCTGATGCTGTCCTCTAGGTAAACTGTTCACTGAAGTAAGGCTGCCCAGTTGGGCAAGGCTACCCATTAAATAACTGGGTGAGACTATTCATTGGGCGAGGACCTCCACTGGGCTAGACTGTCCTCCGAGGTGAAATCTCACAAGAGTGAGTTTGTCACTGGGCAGAGTTCTTCAAAGAGTAAGATTATCACTGGGATAAGGTGGTCCACTAGAATGAGGTTGCATTTCATTGAGACTGTTCTTTGGGAAAGTTGGCCATTGAATAAAGTTGGCCAAGTGGGTCATAGTCAAAATTACTTTCTGAATTTGTAGTGGGGGTGGAACCATTAGTTTCTGATACTCATCTACCTAAATATCAAAGAAATGGTATTTTTCAAGCCAGTTAGCCAGACGCTTGGGACTCATCTACTGCTGCTCCTTTCCTCTAAGAAAGGCTGTTCCTGTCACTTGTCCCATATCCTTGGGGAGAATCATACTTGGGCCCTGGTTTGGGAGAAGCAGCCCACATCTCCATATCAAGTGGTGGAGGAGATGGGGTTTGTAAGGACTTGGACAAAAGTTTCTGACCACAGACCTTGGCCCAGCCACAGCCTTCCAGACTTCATATAACTTAGACTTTGTGATCTGGGACTCAGAAGGTTTGAACTGTAGGAGACCTCAGAGATTGTCCAGTCTAATTCTCTCATTCTATAGAAGGGGAAACAAAGTCTCGGAGAGGGGGAAGAACTTTTCCAGGGCTCTTCGTTTACTCCCCAGAGGGCTGGAATTCTGAGCAGCCCCCATCTGTCTCTCTATCCCTCCAGCCACCCCTGAGACTCCACAGCCCTCGCCGCCAGGTGGCTCGGGGTCTGAGCCCTACAAGCTCCTGCCAGGGGCCATCGCCACAATCGTCAAGCCCCCCTCCGCAATCCCACAGCCGACCATCACCAAGCAGGAAGTCATCTAGCAAGTCACTCGGGGGCAGGGGCTCTGCTGGCCCCCCAGCCCCCTCAGAGGGCCCCTGATTGCCATTTGGTCACCATAAAGAGAGCTGCGACAACAGGGCCAGTCCCAGAGCAGTAACGGAAAGGGTGAGGGCGCTGGAACTTGGGCTGTGGGTCATGTCCCATGGCCACCTTTCTCCACCTGCTCTGGATGACAGGGCTGTGACTCGGGGAGACCCTAGCTGGAAAACCCTCTGCTGCCTTGGACAACTGTTCTCTTGCTGAAGCCACTGCCTTCCCCTCATCCTTCACCCCAACTTCTTCACACTCAACGGACTGCTGCCTGGAGACAACACAGGACTTTGCTTAAACATGGCTCCTTCCCCACTCAGACTGGTCCTTCGCCCCTAGTCCTGCCATAGTGTCAGACACAGAGCCCGTCTAAACTGGGTCAGAGGGTGGTACCTTAGCCATCCATCCCTGTTCTGCTACCCCAACCACCAGTGCTCTTCTCTACTTGCCACTGTCACCTGCCTCAGCCATCCTAACTTCTCCAAAGCCACCTCTCCAAAGGCTGAGGAAGATTCGCTAACCACTCCCCCAGTCATCCCGGGAACACTTTAAAAGCATTGACTGGGGCTTGGTGCAGTGTAGGAGATTATTGAGAAGGAAGATGCTGTTTGGCCTCTAACCCAAGGCTCTTCCCTTCTTCAGGGACTTGGGTGGATCCCCCGAGTCAGAGTGATGATCCCTACAGGCTGCCAACCATGGGAGAACAATCCAGGGTGGACAGGTGCAACCGGGACCTGGAGGGAGGGCTGAGTGGTCAGAGAGAGCATCCAAAAAGGGGCAGACTATGCAGCAGGCCTTTAAGGAAGGGCTGGCTGCCGGCTGCTGGAGCACGTGAGGTAGGATGTTCCAAGGGAGAGCAAACATCCTGGGCAAGGCCTGGAGGTCAGAAGGAGGGCATGGAGGGAGGCCATGAAAGATGGGGCTATCTGTATCAAAATGGGCATGCTGGACAGCCTGGGGGCCTAGAATGCCAGACTGAGGCAATGTGACTTGGGTCCTTTGGCTGTGAGTAGCTGGGAAGGGATGTGCGGTGAGCTGAGCTTTCAGAAGCTAAAGACAGCAGCCCTACAGAGGTTGGAAGTTTGGGAGGGAGTGGGGAGATCAGGTGGTGCCTGATGATGTCATCTAGGTGAGAGAGATGAAGCTGGGGTTGGAGAAGACAGATGGGTGAATCTCAGGTCAGAGTGATACCAAGGAGGAATTATCCCAAGGGGCCTGTCTCAAGCTTTTCCTCATTCCTGGCACTGTCTTAAGGCACTTGACATGCCTAAGGAGATGTCCTGTCATCATCCCTATTACCCAGAGACCTTACTGGAGATGAAATTGAGATGCAAGAGGTTAAGTGCTTTTTCTGGAACTCACACAGCTAGCAAGTGACCAAGTCAGGACTTGATTCCAGGTCTGCCTGAATCAGGAGCTCTTAACCTCGGTGGCTGAACGTCTTCTCTGAAGAGGCCCTTCTGTCCTCACTGTGATTGAGTTGAGGGACTTCCTGCCCCCTTCACCAGCCTCAGAAGCCAAAGACTCATTCTTCCCAGGAGCCCTGCCCACACCCAGGACTAAGATTGCCTGAGGCTGCACTAAAGTCCAGTTAGGGTCCAGAATCCTGTTTGCTGATAAACAAGGAGAATTCATGACTCCTGGACCCCTCTTCTCTCTTTACTCCCCAAGTCTGGGGAAGGGGCATTCAGTGGTCCATTGGGAGATGGACTCATGTGACCTGGCATTCTGGAGGTAGGATGGTTTGGGTCGGGGCAGGGAAGACATAAGAAGGGCTGGGTTTGAGACCTGCTCTGGGAGCGTCACTCAGGGTACATTCTGGAACCATTAAACACCAGGAGGGAACAGCCTGAACCTCATTTATGCAGAATTTTGGACATTTTAGGTAAATTCTAGAAAACACCAGTGGCCAGTGGGAATTAAAGAGATGAGTCCTGGACCGGAGCTGTGCTTAGGTAGCAGTGAACAGTTAGACTGGCTGCCTACCGCCCACTCAGGGCTGACCCTTCTGAGTGGATGGGGGTAGCACCCCAGTGCCTCCAAATTCCATCATTAGTGATTATTCCTTTTTGTGAAAGAGGCATGAAAGGAGCTGGCATATGTCTAAGAACAATCCCTACATCTCCAGTGCTGTCAGGATTGGGCTCTCCCACTCCATCAAGCCAAGTCCCCAGTCCCAGGAGAAGCCTGCTCAGAGTGCTCCAGCCTCCCTCAGCCACCTCCCACTCCTGAGGTGCTTCCCCAGAAATCCCAGCCTGGGTGCTCCGACTGGTCGGGGGCAAGGTAGGCAAGCTGGAATCATTCTGGTCATTGTCATTCCCACTCTTTGCTCCTCTCTCCGCCCCTCTCCCTCCCCCACCCCTTATTGTCCAGGCCTCTCTCTGTCACGGGAGCAAAGCTGAGATAAAAATTTCCCATAGGGTGGGTGGGGTAGCGGTGACTCACAGTAGCAAGCTTCTGGGCCAGGAGGTCAGTCCTCGGCCCCAAGTCAATCGCCCTGGAGGAGAAATCCATTCCACCTAAGTAATTTTATTGCAATGCAGGAAACACAAAACAAAGAGTATTTACTTGTCTGGTTCTAAACTGAGGACACAACACTGCATTGGAAAATCTTCTTTTTTTTATAACTACCTGAGTTGTGGTCCTGAAACATAAAATCTGACAAACTAAAAGAGTTGGGAGGGCATGCACAGACCTTATAATTCCTCCACTGGACAACCCCTTCTCTAGGCAGCTCTCAGTAGCTTCCAGAATCCATATGGCTTTCCCAGGAGTGGACAAAGGGGAGCAGAGCGTCGGAAATGGACGCTCTTCGATTTCTTGTGATGACGAAGCCAAATACTTTCGCCAAATCACTCTGTGATCCGCCCTGATTGTGATGAATTTTGAAATTCACACCAAGCATTCCTGGAAGTGGGCTGCGTCCCACCAGGCTGCTCAGCATCTTCCCATGGGTGTGAATGCCATCAGGTCCTGTGCTGGCCCCTTAGCTGTGCTGGCCCCTTAGCCCCCGTCACTGCCGCCCAAGAGGGCAAAGAAGCAAAAACCATTTCTTACTCTTGTGTGTTTTAACAAAAGTTTATAAGACAAAATAAATGGCGCATATGTTTTCTAAGTCCTTGGATCGGTGTCTTTTCCTCCTTTCAGGTGTTAGAAATAAGAATGAGAATAGCCGGTTAGTTCTTTACGGTATGCAAAATGCTTTCATATCTGTTAGTACTTGTTAATCTTCACATCAAGGTAAGCAGGGTAGACATTATTACCTCCCACTTTACAAATGAGGAAACTGAAGCTCAGGGGAAGTGATTTTCCTTAAGAGGTGGGAATCGAAGTCTGGCCTCTCGATTCCAATTACTCAGTACGTAGAGAGAGTGAGGGGAGGGATAAGAGAAGAGGTGACGGAAAAGATAAGTAGAGTGACCCCTTCTGCTTCCCAAAGGGAAGGGACAACAGTTCTGGCCTGGGAGTTGCACATCTTGTTGACCGTTCAGGTCACTCCACCTCTCTGAGCCTCATCTATAAAACGGAAATGATCCTGCCCTCTGGGCGTGTTGTCGGGATTGGACTGAACAAGACGGTAGAAGCTAGGAGAGCTGCTGTGTATCTGAGGAGCACAATGTGCCCACCACTGGGCAGTGGGTGGGGGGTGACCCGTGAGTTTGGACTCTTCACCCAGCCCCTTTCTAGTGAGAAGCTCACCATTAAATTCTCCAGCCTCAAAAGCCCCCATTTGCTGTCTGCCTGATCCCCAGGTCCCGCCCACCATCCCCTGCGCCTTCCCTCCACTCACAAGCACCAGGAAGTGTTTTCCGTAATGTCACAACAGAGGCCTTGTGCATGCCGCGGTCGGTGTGGATGTGGGGGTGGGGGCCCCAGGAGGCTATTGCAGTCCTCCAGTGTGCTTAATAAATCCATATCAAAACCATAAACCTAGGGCTGCCATAAATTCCTCTGGCCTTGGCTCCTCCACCTCATCAGCTCTTTGCCCCAGTTAATCTCAGATCTCCGCGTGGGTGGCCAGAGGCGCAAGTGTGCTTTCCATCTTAGTTGCAAAACAGTATCAGCTTGGATGACAAAGAGCAAATCCCATTATCCCCATTTTAGACATGATGAAGTTGACTGAGGTTCAGAGAGGTGAAGGAACTTGTTCAAGGCACAAAGCTAGTGAGCAGTTGAGCTGGGACTTGAACCTATGCTTCTTCTACCAACCCATGTGGTCTCACTGAGAATTGGGAATTCTCCTCCCCTGCCCTACAAAGGTTGCTTCCCTAGCCGTGATACTAGATGTTTTTATCCCTTTATCCTATTGCGAGCCCCACTGCTCAATAAACAGGAAGGAGAAGTGGGAGGGACTCTGGGTGACAGGTTGTGTGAGGTTCCAAAGGAAGTTCCATGCAGTGTGAATGACCTATCATCCCAAACTGGTGGGCTCGCCCTACTTCCTCTTTTGTGGAACCCAGATCACCTTTGATCTAGATTTCTCGAATCAATGTGTCATATGTAAATTCCAAGATGTGATCTAAGAGACCTGAATCACAGGATCTCATGCAGCTGTTTGATGATGGTGGAGCTAAAACCAAATCCTATCCCAAAGGACTATATTTATTGACCTTTTCCTCTCTGCCAAACATTGCTGGACATGATTTAATCCCCACAACTTCCTGAGTCAAGTATTCTTGTTCTGTTTTACAAATAAGGAAGGGACTTGTCCAAGGTTCACAGCTGATGCAACAGCTGACATTCAAACACCCATTTACTCCAGCAGTCACCATGATGGGACCAGGGAGGACGCTGATGACTCAGTCACTATGTGGTGAGCACAGAAGTAGTGTGAAATGTGGGAAGTTCATCATTTGACAAATGTCAGTGGGCAAAGCCCTGTGCCAAAGTATCCCGGGGGTGATGGAGAAGCAATACTACAAGGTGCCTCCCTGTTAGAGTTTACAGTTTTCACTTGTAGAGGGAAAAGAAACAAGTAGTTAAATACTATACTAAGAGCCAAAGGAGTGAGAGTGACAGCTGGGGCGATGTTAGTTTGAGTCAGGGTTGTCTGCAGTCTGGGAAAATCTCACTTGCTGGAGAAGGATTCAGAGGCAACAGTGAGACAGAGAAGAGACAGAAGTGCATTTATGCACTTTATATGGTTTGGTTTATTTATGGTTGAGGAGAGAGACCAAGTAGCAAGGCAGGGCAGACAGTAGCAAGCACAGCCTGTGGACGGGAAGGAGGATGGAGACCAGAGTTTCCCAGCCTGCAATCATACATGCCACCCAATCCTCTCCATACCCAGTACCACTGTATCTTCCCTTACCTACTATTTTTCTTTAAATCAATTCATAAACATTCTTTTTACACTGATCACTGACGTAAATGGAAAACCAGTATCATTTGCCATAAATAGGAGGTGATTGCAAAACTGGAGCAAAAAGAAAACAACATTCTTCAGGTGGAGCCAGATAGGACTGCCCAGGGAAAGTTCTAGGTGCTGTTGTGAAGGGATTCTGCAGATGTAATGAAGGCCCCAAACCCCGATGACTTTGTGATACAGAGATTACTATGGTGGGCCTCCCCTAATCAGGAGAATCCTTAGAGGTAGGGCTGGGCTCTTCCTGGCAAATCAGATTAGAAGCAGGAGAAGGATTCGACATGAAGGAGATCCTCCATGGCTGGCTCTGAAGATGGAGGGGGCCACATGGCGAGGAATGTGAGCAGTCTCTAGAAGCTGAGAGTGACCCCAGCTGACAGCCAGCTGGAAAAAGGGGACCTCAATCTGACACCCATGAGGAATGGAATTCAGGCAACAACCTGAATGAGCTTAGAAGCGGATCTTTTCAGATCCTTCAGGTAGAAACACAGCCTTTGACTTCAGCTGTGTAAAACCCTGGGCAGACACCCCCATCACGCCATGCCCGACCATCTGACCAAACACTATGAAATATCAAATGGGTGTTGTTTTAAGGCCACCAAGTTTGGGGTACTTTGTTACACAGCACTGAAAACCAACACTGGTGGTGGTGGGGAAAGGAGATCAGATTGGGATGTTTTGGAAGTCGCAATGCCATGACCTTGCTGATGGATTAAATGTGTGAAGGGAAGAAGAGGAGTAACCCTGGGGCTGATGGTGCTGACTACGGAAATGAGGAAGACTAGAACAGCTGCAGATTTGGAGGAGCTGTAGATTTGGATTAGGAAGCAGAGTTCTGTTGGGGATGTTTTGCTTGAGGTGCCAGTTAAGCATCCAAGGAATCTTTGGATACACAAGCCTAGAGTTCAGGGAAAAGTTCAGCTAGAGAGAAGAAGTCCAAGTCACAAATATAGACGTGATCTAAAAGCCAAATGAGAATATTGCTCAGCAAGAAAAAGCAGTGAACTACCGATCAAGCAAGCTGGATCTCAAATGCATCATCATTCTGAGTGCAGAAGGTCAGACCCCGAAAGCTACATACGATACAACTCCACCTGTATGATATTCCAGAAAGGGCAAAACTCTAGGGGCAGATGCTGTGGTTGCCAGGGGCTAGGGCTGGGGTGGGGGATAGTCGGGGAGGGGGCTTGAGGTGATGGGAATGGTCTGTATCTTGACTGTGGTGGTGCTTACATTACCATATACATTTGTTGAACTTGCAGAACCATACATTAAAAAAGGTGAATTTTAAAATACGGAAATTATACCTTAATTAAAAAAGAAAGCCGAATAGTTGCCTGTGCTCATTTAAAGAGGGAGTGTAGGCAGCAGAGAGATGTAGGGGAGGACTTCACTCTGGGTCACTCCACCATCTGGGTTGGAAAGAGGGAGAGGAACCAAGAAGAGGTGAGAAGGGTATCGATCGTGAGGGAAAGGGAGTCAGGCAGCGTTGGTTGTGGGCCTACTATGTGTCAAGGGTGCTGCCGCGCTCCTTGTCTTACATAACCAGCTCAGTGAGCTGGGAGGCAGGTTAAATGAACTGCCCTTGTTTTACAGATGAGAGGAACTGACTTGCCTAGGGTCCACACAGACCTTTGGAGCAGTGTTCCCTGAACGCTATTCCCTGTTTGTTGAATGAATGAATGAATGAATGAATGAATATCACTGTGCTGCAGGTGCTGAGGTGTCGCAGCAGGTTCAAACTGAGGCTATGAGAACGTGGTCTTTTTGGGACATCAGGGCCATAAAACCTGTTCCATTTCCCGACTTGTGCAACGCCTGCCCCTCCCCCTGTGGCTCTGAAATTGCTCCCCGGCCTTGAGCAGGGCTCCCCGGGCTTATCTTGGGGAGAGTGAAACTGTAAAAGGCTTTATGGCTTTGAGATCATGTCTGGCAGCGGTGGCGATTGTTGCCATAAACCAGAGCAGCCCCATGAGGGCGATGCCCGCGGCCACGAGAGTCAGGGGACAGTTGAGCAACGCCGAGGGGGTGGCCCCTGCGGAACCCGCCCCAGGTTTCCCACACTCCATCCTTGCATAAACCCTAAGCGGCAGCAGTGATTGTGATAGTTTTAAAATTCTACAATGCATCCTTTTTTCACATTAGATCTCTGATGTTAGGATGTATCTTTAAATCAGTGGCATCCTACAGTCACTGTTGGTTAAACTGGGGGTGGTCATACCTGGCTTGGCTCTGGTCATTATTTCCGGGGGCCTGACTGGACAGCTGCACCCCCTCTGCATTTCCTCACAAACGATTTAGAGACCATCTGAGGGAGGGGTGTGAGTCCTGGTTGTTTCCTGGAAACCTTCCGTTGACAACTTCTGATAAGAGGAAAGAGCACTGGGTCAAACCTGCAGAATCTGAGTAAGCAGGTTGGGAGAAAGTCCTGGAGACCACGGTGGAGCATTCTCTCAAGAAATAGTTCACGATCAAATCTTTTAACAGTATAGAGGACAACACTGTGTGAAAACATACAGACAAGGGAGATTCCGCGTGGAAAAGTTAGCTGGATGAGCTGGATGCTGACTGGGAAGAAGTTTTAGAAGTTCCTTAACTAATTTATTTCACTTTTATTTTCCTTTATATTTATGTGCACGGGTGATGTGTGATTTTTAAATCAATGTCTAAATAAGTCTAAGAGCTCCTTAATGAATATAAAATAAAAATTCTAGGTGACAAGAAAGCATTATGTCACAATTTGTTAGTGTGTCTTCTTTCTTCATGGGACACAAAATGCTAGTGTCTCTTACAACTGAAGCATCTTAGGTTAGATTCTACCCATTTTATAGATGAGAAAACTAAGGATCCAGAGGGCACAGGGTAAATAAGTGGTAGGGCCAGGGATCTCTCTGATGACAGATCCTATGCTCTTTCTAATACCCAAGGCTGACTTGGACATAGACACTGATTTCCCATCTCCCTCAAAGGTCTTGCCCCGAGGCAAACAACTCCAGTTTGCCATTGCAAGGGGCTCTTGGAGGCAGTGAGCTTCCCTGTTGTTCAAAATTTAAGCAGGAGAGGGTTTGAAGCAGGCTTTTTGCCCATTGGACAAACGGCCCCTATTACCCATCACCCAAGTCAGCAACCCCAGGCAGGCCAAGCCCACCCCACCCTGGGCCATCACATGCCCTTTGGGCTCTCCCTAGGAATGCAGCGTGTGTGTCCAGCACAATTGCACTTTTAATCACTTGTCTTGTTCCGAGCAGATCAGGCTCACCTTATTTTCCAGATGAGGAAACTGAGGTCCAGAAAGTTGCTTGATTCTTTCAAGGTCAAGGGTGAGTCAGTGTCAGGGAAGAGTCTGGAATCCAGGGCTCAAAATCGAATGCTCACTCTGACTTCACAGATTTCCTAGATCCAAAAGAAGCAGGCTGAGATGAGAGAGCAAGGGACTCCAGGTGGGTCAAAAGAAAGGACTTTCCGCCCAGAGGGATTGCTGAGTCCTCATGCAGTCAGGCAGTAACACCAAAGGTCTTTAGCTGGGTCTTGTCAAGACCAAGAAGTTCTGGGACAGCTGCCCTTACTCAAAGGATGGGGCCAAACTATACTAGGCATCCCCATCAGAGCCCATGTCTCCCTCTTAAAACCCTCCAATGACTTCCCATCATCCCTAGAACAAAATTCAAACCCCTCACCAGGGCCACAAGACCCTATATGAAGTGGCTCCTGACCACTTCTCCGAGGTCCTCTCCTACCACTCTGCCCCTTGGTCCCAACATTCCAGCCCCCTTGGCCTCCCCTCTGTTCCTCAACACGCCAAAGCTGTTCTCATTTCACAGCTTCACAGCCTTTACCCTGATGTTCTCTTTTTCTGGAACACTCTCTTCCCAGCTCTTCTCATGACTACTTCCTTCTAACCATTCAAGTCTCTTCTCAGATGTTGCCTCTTGGAGTGGCCTTCCTTGACCAACTTAGCTAAATATCTGAGGCTTTGCAGGCTATATGGTTTGTGTTGCAACTACTTAAATATACCATTAGAGCGTGAAAGCTATAAACAGTATGTAAGTGAATGGGCATGGCTCAGTTTCAATAAAGCTTTATTTACAAAAGCAGGCAGCAGGACAGATTTGGCCAATGACCATAGTTTGCTGACCCCTGCTCTAACTTACTGTCTTGTTTGATTTTCTTCATTGTCCTTACAACTATCTGAAGTCATTTTATTGTATAGTCTAGTCAACTCTAGATTCCTGTCAATCTTGTTGAACACTGTTGTGGTAGCCAGCCCCCAAAATGGCCCCCAGTGGGCCCCACTTCATGGTATACACACTGTTGTGTAGTCCTCTCTCAAACTGAATAGGGCTGCCCTGTGTGATCACTGGGATAGTGTGGAAGTTAAGGAGTGTGGCTTTGAAGGATAGATTATGAAAGGCATTGTGGCTTCCATTTTGCCGTCTTGGATCACTTGCTCTGAGGAAGCCAGCAGCCATGTTGTAGGGACACTCAAGCAGCCTTGTGGTGGGGTCTGTATGGAGAGGAGCTGAGGCCTCCTGCCAACTGCCAGCCACGTGAATGAGCCACCCTGGAAGTGGATCTCCCAGCCACAGTCAAGCTTTCTGGTAACTATGGCCCTGGCTGACACTTCGACTGCAACCTCATGAGAGACCCTGAGCCAGACTATCCAGCTAAGCCACTCCCAAAGTGCTACCACACAAAAATTGTGAGATAAGAAATATTTGCTGTTTTAAATTAGGATAATTTTTTACACAGCCATAGATAAAATGCAGTTGCTCAGCACAATGTCTGGAATACAGTATGTGCTCAACAAATATTGGTAAATAAGTAAGTTAGGTGCTCAATAAATATTACAGAAATAACTATTTTAAAGACACAAATGTAATATTATATAAATATATGTAAAAATATAAATTCAATATTATGGAAGTGCACAATTGAGACTTTTCTAATCCACTAACAGTCCTTGAACAAGGAATTTTTCCAACCCTGAGATCCCAAGCTTCTGGGATTCTCAGGTTCTCTGTTTCTAATACTCTTCAAGTTTATGATTTTATGATTCTGAGATTTTAGGTTTCTGTTCCACCAAGTTCATGATTCTAAGATTCTGATCCTGTGATTCTGACATATTATGATTCATTTATCAATACATGTCTTTGTTCAGAAACTCTTCTTTTCCAGGCACAATGTTGGGAGCTAGGGGTTCAGTAGAGAAAAGATGACCCCTGTTTTTGTCCCCCTGGGGCCCACGAGCTGATGAGGACACAGGCAAGCACATGGGCATATATGACCCATAGTGAGTTGTCACGCAGGTAGGCACAGGGACTGTGGGTGGGAGGTGGGGAAGGAGACACCAACCCAGCCTCCTTGGGAGGGGTGTGAGCAGAAATGGCTTTCCAAAGAAGACAGGAAGAGAGAGTATTCCAACCAGAGGAAGGGGGTGCTGGTGTATACTGCGTTCCAAGTGGCGGAAACAGCAAGTGTAAAGGTCCAGGGGTTAGGAAGAGACAGAGAGTGCATGCATATCTGGTGAATGAGACCGAGGTCCATATGAGTTGGAGTAGAGTTGGGGGTGGAGGGTGCCAGAGACGGGACAGAGTGGCAAGAGACTATGGCCAGATGACAGAGGACCTAGTAAATCATGTCAAGGAGTGTGAACTTTATCCTCAGGGCAAAGGGGAGCCAGTGAAGGGTTTTAAGAGGAAGAGTGCAACGGTCTGCTTAGAGTTTAGAAAAATGCCTTTGGCTGCTGCTTGCAGGTTTGGAAGGAGGAGAGCCCAGGGAGGAGGCTGGACCAAGACCCCAGGTGAGAGAAGAGGAGGCCTGAGTGGATAGGAGACGGGCCGAAAGCGATGTTTCACCCACGGTGTGATGAACAGATAGGGGTGGGGGTGCGGACTGTACTGGTAACCTGTGAATCCACGACCTCTGGACTTCATGATTCTAGGATTCTCTGATTCTGTGCTCAAACCCCCATAATCCTTCCACACAAAATGTCTGTTGATATCACTATACGTTTACAACCCCCGAATTCACACTGCCCTGCATCCTTCCTTTTCTGAGCCCATTTCCCTTATTTGCAAAGTGGGAATCATTGACATCTTCCTTGCAGAGTGTCCAGGAAGCGATAACTGGTCTGTGATCAGCACCTAAAACAAGGCGAGTGATCCATCTGTGGTAGGCATTGTTGCCCCGAATGCTGGACATACAGGTGTTATCAGGAAAGAACTGGGTCTTGAGACAAGAGAGATCAGAATGGAAGAGCAGAGGTAAGGAACAACCTTGTTCTTATCGGCTCCTGGTGACCTGGGTTGCTCTGGCTTCTGGGCTTCTAACTGGGCACTTGATGCCCAGATTTGGTCGTTTGCTTCCAGGCACCAGCAGATTTACCAGTTGGCCGTCAGGCTCCCCTTATCTGTAGCCTGATGGCCTTCCCAGCTCCTCCTTCTGGTCTCAAACTCCCCGCCAAGGGCTACAGACATCAGCTGGGTGTAGCCAGGTGGGATCTGGCCTTCCTTGGGCAGGTCTAAGCCAGGCCAAGTGCCACCCAGGTTGTTGAACCCAACCTGCTCCCAACCCCAGCCCAGTCTCAAACTTACTCTATAGGTGTTCCCTTCTTAGACAACTGTTGGCTCAGATGAGAACAGGTCTTTGGAGACAGAAACTTGATGCATCTCCCCAAAACAACAATATGTGGTCTCTAGAGACAGACCCAAGGCTTATGCATGCTCCTATGTTACAATCTGCTTCTTGCCAGTGGTTCAGCTTTAACGGCGTTTAATCCACAAAACATCAGCTGAACAACACAACTGTGGGCAAACCCCACAGAGCTGGCAGGACCCTGGGAGACTCGCTCCTTTCTTGGAGGAGGAAATGGGAAGCTGAGAGCGGTGTGCCTAAAACTACCCAGTGTTTATTGAAGGACTGGGCTGAGAGTCCACGGATTGGCCAGAGCTCTCAGTCCATCTCTCTGCACACAGTAGCGGTTTCACAAACATCAGTGAAATTAAGTCAAACTAGAAGTTTGACACATATCATAGAGACTACCGGCCAGCAGCATTTGCACTGACTATTTCTAGAAGCGAGAGGAGGCTGGAGGGAAAGGTGACCTCCGGGAGGTGAGCTGGGGTCAAGGATGGGAGGAAGACCTACTTTTCATTTTATGCCCTTTTGTACCTTTTGGATGTTTCATTTTCACCCCATGCACACAGAACAAAGTTAATCAATCAAATAAACAATCATGATTAAACAAACAATTCAGTGAGCCAGACTCTTTTGTAACTCCATGCCTTTGTACATGCTGTTCCCTCTGGCTGATGTACCCTTTCCCAGTTTGCTCAAGCTGGAAAACCCCTATGCAAGTTAAAAGTCCAGTGTCTGGGGTCTGTTGTTGCCCCCCTGAGATGGTTACTCTTCATTTATCCACCACCTCCACACCCTCATCTGCCCTGTTCTATGTGTCAGGAGACACCCATGCCTCCTGCCTTCTCATGGATTCCACCAAAAGTAGGAGTCAAGAGGAGATTTAAGGGCAGGATGAGGGAGAAGTGGGGGTGTTTATGCCACCCAGCCCTTCCTGTCTTGCGTTAGTCTTGGCAGAGGTTATATTTCTCTATGGCCTCACTTGCATGGTTCTGGTTATTTCTGGGAGCAGTAACACTGTTCCCTCTCTCACCCCTTCAGGCCTGGGGGTGATAACAGCCCCTCACACTTCTAATCCCCAGGTGCCTCACTATTCCTTGAAGATTCCCTTCGCCTGCCCAAACCTCTGTGAACACTCTCTTCATTAAATTTGCTTCAGTTAAGCCAATGGTTCTCAAACTGGAGTGATCTTGCTTCACTGGGGACGTCTGGCAATGTTTGAAGACAGTTTTCGTTGTCATGACTGGTGCGGGAGTGCTACTGGCACCTAGTGGGTGGAGGCCAGGGATGCTGACAGACATCCTACAATGCACAAGGCAGCCTCCCCCAACACAGAATTATTCAGCCCCAAATGTGAATGGTGCTGAGATGGAGAAACCCTGATTTAAACATCTGAGATGCCAACTGCTCCCTACCTGGACCCTGGCAGTTCACGGCTGTGGGTTCTGGACACTTGCTGTGCCCTCTGCACTGTGGTGTGATCTAGTCCTTTACACATTTGCTGTTGGCTTCCTCTTAATGGCAGAGTGATGGAAAGATCCAGTCTTTGCCCAGGTAGGACAGAAGGCAAGAAGAAGGTGTCTCATCTCTCAAATGAGTATCATAGTAAAACCCACCTCCTAGGATTATTGTGAGAATAAAATTAATGGAAAGCACTTCAAGTGTTACAATACCTGGTTAGCACAAAAGAAACAGCATCCATCAGCTACTTGGAGGAAGCGATGGAGGGGAAGCATCAAGGTGGGGGTTGGGGAACA